CTTGAGAGAAAGACGAATGAGACGTAGGTATGGATGGTTCATCCGTAGCATGAACTTGCCTTCTGTTTTAGTTATCATGTTCTGCTCTAGCACGTGCCCTTCAGAGCCCAGTCCCCCCACAACCGAATCCTTTAGGCTTTGTGCTCTGGAAATCCTTCTCTTGAATTGGAGAGAGCTGCCTTCACACTTTCCTCCTGACTCAAGGAACAGCTCTTGGCAAATAGCATATGATCAAAAAATTCAGATTGATTGGAGGCCCTGCTGAGTATAGCTTCTTGACTGGATCACCTAAGGCTTTAGGACAGCAACTTCACTGCATTCTCTGTCAGACTCTCCACAAAGTGATCTCATTTACCTTCAGCCTAAACCTTCCTCCTTTTGCAATTATCTGTACATCCCAGAAGTTCAAGTCTGATTCAAACCATGAGGAATATCATGTCTGATGTCAGATGGATCTTGGCTGAAGGAAGAACATCAGAAGATGCTGCCTCCTCCCATAAAGGTTTATAGCCTCAGAAACTCTGTACAGGGCTGCTTTAAGTTGATATTGACCAATGGCTGGAGTTTTGGGGGTGCTAATAATTTTTCTTTTCCAAAAAAGTTTTCTTAGATTTTTCAGGTAAATAATCAAATCACTTCCAAATATTGGTAGATTCCTCCTCCCCTCATATGAAAAACAGCAACGTTTTACTGTGATTCAGCTGAAAATTTACAGAGGAAATCGGTTTCCCAGTCAACAATTCATACATTTTTGTTTCATGTCATTGAGTGTAACCCTCACTATAGCAAGCCCTATCCCCCTTTCTTCTTCCTATATTTCCCATTTCCAGTTCTCCTTCTTTCTTATTCCTTCTTGTCTTCTGAACTTTGTTCCTGAGCAAATTTTGTTCCTTGATGTTGGATGATTGATTGTTCCAGGATAGTGCATCTCCCTGGTGTCTCTTCTCACCTAATAGACTTGTTTATTATTTGGCCAGGTGGATGGTTCAAGTCCAGGCTTGAGGGGTGACTATGTATATTATTCTAATTGCCACAGTCTTGGGATTCCACCAGTCTCTATTAGATCAGTGAGCCTGGTCTTTCTCTAATTTTGAGTTTTGTTGCATGTTTTTCGCCAATTATATCTATGAGTTCCTGCTATGATTCCTTTCAGAGTGGTCAGCAGTGGTAGCTGGGTGCAGGATACAGAAAGGGTTTTCCCAGGTTGTTCCCCAAATCACATGATAAATGACTGTACACTTGGGGGTCAATTCAAGCTGCTTTGAGGTTATCTCCCTGAGGGTATCAGCCATTTAGAGCAATCAGACTCTAGTCTGTCCCACCCTAAGTTGGGCCCATTCCCTGCTTGTAAGGATAGTGGATTGTTTCCTTGAAGAAGAGCCCAGAGAGAAGGTCAAGCCCACTCAAGTACAACCAAGGTTAGGCTGCCATCTTGAATCTAGGATCTGCCCATCTTGTCACATGTGTACCCCTAGTCTTTCCCCTTCCTATTGTGTATATACCCCAAGATCATTCCCCTCCCATTGCTGTATTACCTATGGTACAGTCCCTTCCCATCATGATGTAATTAGGGGGGCTTGCACGCCCCCTAAGTGTATATAAGCCTTGATTAGAAATATACTCGTTCTCTCCCCTCCTCTTGTCTCCCACTTCCATGTGGACCACCAAAAGGGGCTGAGGTAAGCATGCTACCATGAAATGTGCCTGAATTCTTTATCTTACTCTCTCTCCTATCTTCTATGGCTTTACTATGATCTTTATATATTATAACCATACAATTGTGCCTAAAGACCCTGCGGTTGTCAGAGGCTGGTTTACTCTGACAGCTGGGCATTATATAATTCTTCTGGTCTCAAGGTTGTGGAGGTGAGGTTCATGTGGTCTTTTAGTCCTTTGGACTAGGCCTATCCATGGACCTTTAATTTTCTTTAATTTTATGGAATTCTGTTAAGTAATACAACTCACCCCCATTGAGTCAATGCTGACTCATAGTGAGCCCCAGGGGGTTTCTAAGACTAACTATTGATGGGAGTAGAAAGTCCAGAAGAACACTAAAAATAAACAAACAAATCTAACCAGAATAATGAAACAGATAAAAACCTGAATAGGAAAGAAAGCAGAAATATTAAAACCTAGAACAAATGTAAATGGATTATAGGGAAATAAAATGATAGAGTGTTAAATTATAACCCAACTGTACCTGCAACAATCCACTTTCCAATACATTCTGCATGTTAGCAAGACGATTCACATTGCTGGTCCATGGTCAAAGGGGATTCACCAGGAGCTTAATTCACACTTAGCAAAAAAGCAAACAAACAGAAACAACTTTAAAGGGTCAAAAGGGAGATAAAATGATAAGATACTACATTTTGACCTAACTGATTTGCCATAATCAACTTTACAATGCTTTTCGTCTGATAACAGGGCTACTCAGGATTCATCTGAGGATTAATTCATGTGGGGATGTTGCAAATGGGTTCTTGGCTTCTGTTATCCATAGTTTCCTGTCAACCAGGTGTTCACATTTAAGCTCTGATACTATTCCTTCTTTCACATTGGAATTATTCTTATTTATATTCCTTGGATCACATAGGCTGGTGTGCTTTTTCCATGTGGACTTAGTTGAAGCCTCACTTAGAAGGCACGTTGTCTGAAGATAAGCCTTTAATGCCCCAGACACTATTCTTTCTGATATCGGGGCACCATCTAGTTTCTTTGCCACACTTTGTTCTGGCACCCATATCTTCAGTGACCTCTTCTTGAGAGCGAGTAGCAAGAAGGGACATATCATAAGAACTCATTATTCTTAGATTAGGGCTACAGTTAAGTGCAGGTCAAAAACCCATTCATGCATCTATGGTTTATATAAATCTCTGGTTCACCTTAGAGACATCATTGTCATCTTATGTTAAAGAATATTTTAATCATCCCCCACGACATCCCTTTCGCCGTCATCAAGTCAATGCTGCCTCCTAGCGACCCCATAGGGCAGGGTAGAGCTGCTCCTGTGAGTCTCCGAGCCTGCAGTTCTTCACAGGAGTAGAAAGGCTTTTCCTTCTGCCGAAGAGTCATGTCAACTTTAAAAAAAAAAATCATTTTATTAGGGGCTCATACAAATCTTATCACAATCCATACATACATCAATGGTGTAAAGCACATTTGTACATTCATTGCCCTCATCATTCTCAAAACATTTGCTCTCCACTTGAGACCCTGGCATCAGCTCCTCATTTTTTCCCCTTCCTCCCTCATGAACCCTTGATAATTTAGAAATTATTATTTTGTCATATCTTACACTGTCCGAGGTCACATCAACTTTCATAGACCTTTAAAAAAAAACAACCCTGCAACTTGGACTTCTTTCTGGATGCTCTCTTGTAATCCATTAATTTGTACTTTTATTTATTAATTAATTTAATCTTTTTCTTATATTTGTTGTTCTTAGTTGCCATCAGTCAATTCTGAATCATGGTGACTCCACGTGTGTGGAGTGGAATTGCTCCATAGGGTTTTTAAAAAAAATAAAACATTTTATTACAACGGATGTATGCATGGATTGTGATAAGAGCTGTAAGAGCCCCCAATAAAATGATTTTTAAAAAATGAAACAAAAACAAAAACTGTTTTATTATGAATTGGGTGAAGGTTTACAGAGCATCTCAATTTTTCATCCAGCAATCTATATACATTTCACTGATGGCAATCCCCACAATGTAACATCATTTATTTTACTTTCTCCCTGTGATTCCATTTCACTTTCCTTCCTAACTCTGAACTTCATTGTTGGATAAATGTTGCTCTTTTGATCTGAAATGACTGATTGTTCTAAGATATATGTGCTTCACTCGTGAGACTCTTCCTGTTTTAGATCTTTCTGAAAATTGAGTGGTAGGGTAGTCACCTGAAGGCCATAGTCTCATGGCTTCTTGTTTATATCTGTCTAGTAAGCCTTATCCTTTTTATTATTTTGTTTTTTGTTCCACATTTCCCCCCACTCTAATGTGATCCCTTTCAGAGCAGTTGATAATGGCACCACCATCTAGTTCTTCTGGTCTCAGAGTCATGGAGACTGATGTTTGTGTGATTCATTGGTGTCCATTGGATTAATTGTTTCCATGTGTCTGTTTCCGATTTTCATCACCTTTATTTTCTCTGAACAGGTGAGAGGCCAATGGTGGCACTTTGCATGGCTGCTCAAACTTCTAAGGCATATGGCTTTTAAGACATAGGGTTTTAAGACTGTAGATTTTGGAATCAGTTTGCCAGGCTTATCTCCAGAGATGCAAATGGTGGGTCCAAACTGCCAGCCTTTTAGGTGGCGGCCAAGATCTTAATTGCTCATGGCATGCAGGGATCCCTTCTTACATTAGGTCTTGTTATAGTGCTCTCTTAGATTTGAGCAATCAGAAACAACCACCCCCCACCAAACTTATTTATTAGTGAACTAATAGATAAATAAGAAATTATTAATAAATCAGCATGAAAATTCTATGCTGATTATTTAATTAGTAATTTTAATACACAGTGTTTCTGTTTTTATGATATTCTACATTTAGCTGACAGGATTTTTTGACAACAGTATGTTAAACATTTCCAAGTAGGTGCAATTTGAAACACTTTAACTTCTGTTTATGAATAAATGTCTTCTTTGTTTTTTTTTTTAGTCTTCCCCCACCATGGAATTCATGACAGGTACTGTATTTCTTAAACAATAGCCTCTGTATCTTTATTTTTTACTCTAATTAATCAATTTTGTTACTGGTTTACTTTGAAAAGGAGTGTCTTCATGTTCTCTTCCAATCCACACAACATACATTTTCCCAATTGGGGACCAAAATTAGAGCCAGAACAGTGGAACAACAAGATTGGACATGTTCAGGCAAGTTCTGGACTCTTTCAAGCATGTATTTGAAACTGTATAGCAAGCATGAGTCAAGACAAAAGTGCATATGCCGATACATGCAATACTTGCAGTTTTGCTGTGTGACTGTCTGTGATCACGATCTAAAATACAGATACTTTACTAGCATTCGTTTCAAAGCTGCTTTCACATCGTTGTTCTTTAGGCTGTAGATGAGGGGATTCAGCATGGGAGTGACCACACTGTACTGCAGCGAAGCCAGCAAATCAAGGGAGGAGCCAGAGGTGGGCATGAGGTAGCGAACCAAACCTGAGCCAAAGAACAGGATCACAGCAATGAAGTGAGAGAAGCAGGTGGAGAAGGCCTTCCCTCTTGTGGAGCTGATACCCAGGATGGTGGAGATAATGCGAAAGTAAGAAAAAAGGATAGGCAGAATGGTTCCAATCCCATGCAGTAAAGTGGAGCAAATCACAATATCTTTTTTGATGGTAGTATCAGAGCAAGACAAAGGCAAGAGCGAGGGAAGCTCGCAGGTATAGTGGTGTATAGTTTGGGCCTCACAGAAGTCCAAATTAATAGCCAAGAACACAATGAGCATTGCATTGAGAGAGGCCAGGCCCCAGGAGGTTAACACCATGGCCACACAGAATGGGTTGCTCATCAGCTGGCCATACAGCAGTGGATGGCAGATGGCAGCATAGCGATCATAGGCCATCACTGAGAGCAGAATGGCTTCCGTCCCTGCAGTGACAAACACAAAGAAAACCTGAGCCAAGCAGCCCTCTATTGAGATGGTTTTCTTCTCCGACAGGAGGTCCTCTAACAGCTTGGGCACAGTGACAGAAGAGAAACAGAGGTCCAGGAATGACAGATTGCTTAAGAAGAAGTACATGGGTTTATGGAGGCGGGCATCAGTCCTGATCACTAACAGGATCATCAGGTTCCCCACTAGAGTCAGGAAGTAGATCACCAGGAAGACCACAAATAGCAGAGCCTCGATGTGGGGGTCAGAGGAGAGACCGAGGAGTATGAACTCGGTGATACTGCTATGATTCCTCATGAGCAAGCTAGTTCCTTGAAATAAAGCAGAAAGAGGGGTGAGGGCTTCACTGATCTCCTCAAGATCTCAAACTTCCTCAAGATATCACTAAATCTTCTTATACACCTTTCCCTACTCTACCTGGGTTTTGTGCTCTGTCATATCAATGATTGAGATATGCCCTCACCATAGCTCAGCAAGAGTTCTTAATCCCTTGGTAGTTGTCACTCTTTGGTTATATTATGCACATACTTCACAGAATCTTACACTTGTTTCACAAGAATTTACTGGAAAAATTAAAATCTCTTGGATCAGTCATCTATTTATTATATTCATTTTACACTACACGCTTCCTATAATTCAGAAAACTTTAAATAATTTTGTTTTAAAAAGACATTATAGCCTATACTAACAGCAGTTGTTCAAAACCCTTCTCCATTCTCCAAATTATTATCGAAAGTATTATTTGGCTAAAATCATTCAATGGCTTCTAATGCTCAAACATCACAATGAAATTTAGTTGGATTTTAGTGTGTGTGTATGTGTGCATTTTCTGAACACTCTTTCAATCACGATCTCAGTTTTTTTCTCTGAGCTATGCTGTGATGCACTTAAGCCAGGGCTTCAAGGGCTAATGAGAAATCTGACATTCAGGAACACTTTAAAATATTATGTTGATAACAATTATGAGAACCATGCAAAAAATCCACTTTTTATAATTATCATCTAGGAATTTAAGTTTTAGCCACACTAAAACATACAAATTTCCTTACTTTGACATTCAGGATTCATATCAATATTCTGCTTTTGTCTGCCAGTCTATAGCCCATGGTAGCCTCTGGTTGTACCAAAAACAGAAAGCCCTGTGTCTACTCCATCTTGTCTTGTTATCAATCTATTAATGTGAAACTTAAGGTCAAGAGAAACTCAAATTCTGATCATGTTAAAAACACCAGTTAACCCAAGCTTAAATATGTCTTGGCTGCAAATTTAGCTTACCTTGGAGCCTAGTCAAACAAAGCAATTTTACCGTTGTCTGCTATAGGATATTAGCTTACATTCAGTGATGTAGAAGAATAATCATCCAGAGAGTCTTCTTTTGAGGACCCTGCATGTATAAAAGTGTAAATAATATTAAAAGCAACATTTTTCTCCTGAAATCTCCACAAGTAAATGAAAAGGATCAGTTGGACTCATGCCTGTTTTGGACCTCCGTATTTTCAAGACTTTCAAACAATATTTTTGAGCTCTTCTGAAAATTACTCTGTCTTCCTTCACTCTCAAGAACAACCTGACCACAGAGGCTATGGCAGATTTGGGCTCTCACATTTTGAACAGTGTAATATGTCTCATCTGTTATCCATATTTTGTCTGTGTGAAAAGTAGCAACTAATTATATCATGTGATTTAGATGAAATCACAAAAAAGGAGTCTACTCCTCCATACCATCCTAAACTAATCCCATAGATTTCATTAGAGACCAAAGGTAAACATTTAAAATTCAATTATAGTTCAATTAGATGGAGGAAAAAATATAATTTTCATTCATTACTTAGAAATGAAGACATTGACTTTTTTCATAGAGATGTGTGAGAGACTGATGTCAGATTTGCACTGAGAGATGGATTAATTGAGCACAGGGTTTCAGAAGTTTCCTAGACAAAGGTTTCCCACACTGGCTACCTCAAGGTATTTTGCAATGAATAAAGAAGTGAAGGCTGTGTGCGGATGGCCAGCTTGGACACATTGACTTGAAGGATCCTGGAGCCAAGGGTGGATATTCAGATGCATGGGAGAGGAATCTGACCTGGGGAGATGGATATCAATGCTGGAAGCAGAGAGGGGATATAGGTCAACTTTATCCCCTTGAAAAGATTTTTAGAGCTGTACTCATTTGCTTTCTCTTACACTATTCACGCTGTATCGATGTTGACAAGATCTGAGGGTGGTTAATTAAGAGAGACTTCACTAGAGTCTCCTTAACTAGAATTCTGTGCAAGGAAGAGGAGAAATAGCAATTGTAGAATAGTCAAATGTCTATATCTGATATGGCCATTTTCATTCTAGATTTCAACTTTCTGGAGTCTTTCTGGAGATTAGAAGTGTGAGCAGATTTATGCCCAAGCAATAGCAATAGGAGGGAAGACAGATAGTTCTCAGTAGTTATTTAAGGCATCAGGGGAAGACCCATCAGGGCTCCGTCCAGAGAAGGAGATCATCTGCCAAGAAGCAGGAAGCGCCACACACATGTCAAGAGTATATGAGTAGATTCAGGCTCTAGAATAAATGGAGCAGATAGAATTGACAAGGACTGTGGGTGGAGAATACACACTAGAAATAAAGCACATATAAGACTTATCAGAAAGAATAACAGGGGGGAATATCAGGGTATTAGGAAGAAGTTACCATGCCTTCACATTTTCTGGAGGAGTCAGCTCCTGACTGTTGGAGCTTCCCCATGACTTCTCCATAAGAGAACTTGTGTCACAGGGGCCCGAATCATCACATAACAGATAGTTTTCCTTTTTGCTGTCAATGAGTGCAGGATATTAGAATAAGTCAAACTCTGGAAGAACTTGAAGTATCACAGAATCAGAATTATTCTGCACATGTTAACATGGAGTAGAATCATTCGGCAATGTAGATCACTAAATGATTAGATAAAGTTTTCTCAAAAGAAAGTCATGTTCTGAACAAATGGCAGATAGTTCCTTGAAATTGTCACATGCTCTCAGGTGCAATAATTTGACCATCCTTCCTTTATATTCTCTGTGGTACTAGACGCTATGCTAAGAGCATCATTTAAAGAAAGAACTTTCCTGTGGAGCCAGCCAGATGTTATTTGTGCTTAAGCAGCTATGGGCTGGCTCTCAAACCCAGGGGAAGCTGTGCCAATGCCCTGTATTCTCTGAAGTCTCAGCCTGAAGCCCAGCTCTACCCTTTTGCAAGCTAAATAGAAAGTTAAACTCAGTAAGAAGCGTATCAGATTATCTCCAGGGCAATCGTAGAAATTTCTGAACCCAGGCTACTATTTACAGTGTTTTATTCTGCTGTGCAATGGACATTTTCTTAATAGCTCCAGGGCTGAAAGTGCCATTTAAGGATTCCCAGGGAACCTGGGATATGACACACTGTTAAGTTCCAGGTTATTATAGGATATATATATATATATATGTTATAAATATAACATATTTATATGTTTATATATGTTTATATATAAATATAACATATTTATATTTATATAAATATAAAACAAGTATATATACATATATATACAAGTATATATATATATATATAGTTTTATATTTATAACAAATTACTCATTATAATGATCAAATGAGAGGTGATAATGTCACCCTGGGAAAATAATTACGTAGTCCTTGAGTTTTAGAGTTTCTATATTCCAAACTTACAATGAATTTTTACAAGTGTCGTTAAAGAGTTACCTGTCTCTTTGGTTTGTTGTACGATGTCGGCTTGTATGCTGCTATGCTGCTGGAAGCTATATCTCCTATATTTCAAATACATACAATCGGGGTCACCTTTGATGGACATGTTTCAGTGGACCTTTCAGATTAGAGAGGAAGAACTGATGATCTACTCCTGAAAACTAGAGATTAAGATCTGTATCTATCACGACAGAATATTGTTTGACTTGCTTACTTTGGACATACTATCAGGAGAGATTAGTCACTAGAGGAGGACTGCCTGTTTGGCAGAGGACCAATATGCCAGAAAGACCCTCGGTGAGAGGGCATGGCACAGGAACCCTAAAGTGGACTTGAACACGTCAGCAATTAGGAGGATGATGCAGGAACGGGCAATGTTTCATTCTATTGTACATAATGTCACCATATTAGCATGCTGGTTACGATCTATCATCTATCTATCTATCTATCTATCTATCTATCTGTCTGTCTGTCTGTCTGTCTGTCTGTCTGTCTGTCTGTCTGTCTGTCTGTCTATCTATCTATCTATCATCTATCTATCTATCTCTATTATCTATATAGCATCCTATCTATCTATCTATCTATC